TGTTGATTCCTTCCTCCACAATCTACTAGTGTGGAATAATCTTCATCTCCATTCGTCGTACCAAGGGCAGTTATCACCAGTTGCCGGTTATCAGCCAAACCTTCTAGGGCCGTCTCACTGTGAGCAATTCAAGTACGTAAGTGTGTTACATTCTCGTTCCTATCGTTTTAACTAACAAGATACAGTTTTCCGTTCATGTTGTAATACACTATGAAATGGCATATAAAGTTTATGCAATTGCGATCTTCTTTGGCGCCGTCTCCGGAGACGCCTTGGGGAACGTCACCGTTAACAAGCCATTGTCAAGAGAGGCCTTTATCTCTTCCTCCTGCAGATGCATCAGTACCTCATACTCCTCAAGAAAATCCCTCTTACCTTGACTCCCTGAGGAAGCCTCAACGTCCTAGAGAACTTGCCGAACTTGCGCTCGCGAACGGCATAGCCATTCTCCTCGTGCTCAGACGAGACTTTACTTTCCCCTGACACAGTCAGGCGGCCGTCGTGGACGTCGATCTCCACATCCTCCTTCTTGAGGCCTGGCAGCTCGAATGTCGCTGTGACGGTGTTCTTGGCGGCGTCTTCATGGAGGTCCATTCTGTAAAGAAACAATTGTTAGAGCCTGTCATCACAGAGTCAGTGACAAAGCACATACCTTGGCTTTAATGCTTTCGTAGCAGTGCTGTCCGAGTCATGCGCTGCCTGTAATTGTTGGCTGGCGGGACGAGTGATCGCATCAAAGAGATGATCGAAGTTGTAGAAGGGTTCGTAGTAGTAGACAGACATTGTCGTTTGGATGATGGGGAGGTATCGACGAGTGAGGATCTTTTATACTCCTCGAACGTTACTCGAACTTTCTGTTGCAGGTGACGACTCCACCGAAGTACAGCTCAAAGAAAGTTCTCGAACTTTCCGAGGGGGGGCTCGGACTCAAATCATAGTCACATTCTCGACATCGTAAGTCACGGAAAGATGGTCCATATAAGGACCAGCCTCCACAGGATGCATCGCGGAACTCGAATGGACTGTCAAGACAGAAATCAAGAGCGAATTCTTTAACTTCAGTGATCTATTTTTGAAAGCCGTCGGGATTTGCCGAACTCCCTTGCTCCGGACCATCACTCAACAGGCGCATATACTCGAGTAGCAAGTACTCAAGCCTACGGTATAGTCGAACAATCGAGCTAAACGATGACTAGACGCCAAGGTCGCCGCTTGCAACGCTGAAGACGGAAGCTGCCTGGGTTATTTGTTTGCCGTGGGTATGTCGTTCGTCGAGAGACTGTTGCGGGTGAATAATTTTCAATGCCTCGACGCCTAGCTCATCTTTTCACGATACTATAATTGTGACAATGTCATGTAGTAATTCTGGTCACCTTATGCAGCAATGCGACAGGGCAAAGTTTGAGTCAGCCTCGGGCTCGATATCGCATTGTGTCACCGTGAAATTGACGTGAGTTTTGCATAGTAACGACTGGTATCGTATCTGTCTCACCCCATGTAGGACTATTCAAGACTGCCATCGAGCTATTCGATGGAGGTCATTGGTACGTTTGTGTCATCTTGTATGCCTTTTATATTTCCCAATATTCCTGGCAGGGTCATATCGAATCGTCGTATCATCGCTGCACAAATCCAATCCGCTGTTGAAATTCCCCATAATCCAAAGAGGCAAAAAGTGGTTCAACACTCCCAACCCTATCGCGTCGATAGAACTTGGTGGTACAGGCCGTGTCCACAAACGCACATTTACGGATGGAGATGACATTCTCGGGCAGGGTGGTACTACATTGATACGTCCTGCCAGCGCCTGTCTGATGTGGGCCACCAAGGAATAGAGCTAGTCACGCAGATCTCCGGTCTGTGCTTTGATGCCATGAGTAATCTGGCTGGCGCACGGAGGAAACGTATTCCGGTATGGATATGGATATGGATGACGTGATTGGCATGGGCGACAATGCGACGTGAGGACGATGTGATGTTGCAGGACGGTTCCGGCAGAACGTATGAAGATCTGTCGGTTTGGTTGCAGCTATCAGCATCGGCGGCAGTTCAACTAGCTCTGGCCAGTCTATGAAAATTTAACGAGTGAAGCGAGGAATGAAGGTGATGAAGATCGTCCCACTATGATTGCCTCCCCGTCCAAGGCACTGCCGCCCATTCCTAGTCCAATGACGTCTATATTACCCCCGGGTCTTGGGATAAACGATCATATCGCTTTCATCGTTTACCCCCAGAGGCAGGTCGCGGAAGACGAGAACGCGATGAGGAGGCACACGATTTAGCGTACGTGGTGCTAATCTTGTGGATAAGAAGGGTTTGGAGGTACAAATACTAGGGATGGTGCGTGATGAAAGTCCCTGCGGGGGAGGTCAGAGCAAATAATATCACGGTTACCTCGGTGGTCACTCCCACGATTTCTGTCGGGGACAGTGGCGATATCGGTCCAGCTTGAACTGCGTCAACTGATTTACTAGGTTGGCCCTTCCCTACTTCCATCTATGTTTGTTTCACTGACTAGAATACAGATTTTGAGATTGATCCTGCTATGTACATCCTTATTCTAATGTCCCAACAAGTTCTTCGTGGTTTCCTTCAACACCGTCTCTGGTGTCGCTGGGAACGTCAACGTCAATAGTCCGTTTTTGAGAGAAATTTTAACGTCGTTTCTCTACGAATGATTTCAGTGCCTTTGCTCATGCTAGGAACAATGTTAATGGACGCTTACCTTGGTTCCGGGAGGAGTCCTTAAACACCTGCAGAACGCGCCGATGTTGCGCTCACCAACACTGTAGCCACCCTCCTCTACGTCTGGAGTCTCTCCCCAGACCATGATCTCACCGTTATCCCAAGTAGTGTCTATGTCTTCTTTCTTGAGACCGGGCAGTTCGAGGATAGCGTTGACTGTGTTCGTAGCTCTATCTTCGGAGACGTCCATGCTGTAGAAGTGTATAGGTTGGGGGACCTGATGAGGGCAAGAAACGAACAACGTACAATGTAAGGAAAGTTTTAGCCAAAACTAGTTGCGAGAGAATGGGATTGGGGTCAACGGTGTAGCCCGGCGTAGAACGGGAGGCAGATTGTGACATCGTCTGTTATGCGTTGGGGAGAAAGAAATAGCGATGCGAGTGCCTTTAATATCCCTCGGTTTTTGCTTTAATGTTCCGTTGCTGTGCCACTCTGAAGACCTCGAAGCCCTTATTCCGGCTATATTTTTGTTCGACGGCGATCTATCTTTTTCTTGCAACGCAGCCACATAGGAGTAGCCTACAATTAGTGTACTTTGGCTATCTGAACACACATGCTACCCATCAATTTGTGATGATTTGTGGCGAGAAATAATAGTTCATGAATATGATTGACGATAGCCGATGTGACGAACATCGCGCAATAACCTCCGAGTCCCCTTATGAAGGGCTAGTAAGGGCTGGTAGTAATGTTCATTATGAGGCAGCAGGGTATATAATAAGACACACGAATAAATTCCATGAACAACACAAACAACACTTTCCTAAAGTGACTCTCAGATGCCGGAAGTGCTGCTTGTCCGAGTCTAACTATGATCTTCACCGTCGTCACTTGATTCATCGACAGTCTCCCAATCCCCTTCTGACTCGGCATCCTCTCTCTCATCTTCATCATACTCATCCTCGTCACTATATGGGTCCTCCCATCCAATCGCATGCTCCTCTTCTTTCACTCTTTGGTACCCGGCATCGTCTTGTCCGGATACCACCCTGCCCTCGTTCTCCAGCACGTTCCGCCTTATCCTCTCCGAGCGGATAGTCTTGCGAATTTCGTCGTTATTATTTGCATACATTCGCATGACGCGCGCGAAGGATCCTAAGCCACCGTCTCCTCCATCCTTCCCGAGAGCTCTCACTTCGTCCTTGACGCTTTCGACCTACAGACAGTATTCATCGTTCTATACGAACAAGCACAGAATAGAAAAGGGACACATACCCATTCACGCATCCTCCTTCCCACCTCCTTCTGTTCTCGGAAAAAATGGCTATACATGCCCTTCCAGTCAAAGCTAATTTCGAACAGATTTGTCCCTGGGTCGAAGGTGGATTGGAATTCCGGTAACATGGTGTCATTCGCACTGCGCCTGACTTGAATCATCACCCTCGGGCGTTCAAGTGAGGGTGCATTCTTGAGCATCTGGCTCAATCGATGAGCGAGCTCCTCTCGAAAGTCTTCATGGCATTCAACATATTTGAATACCGCACGAGAGGGATCGGCAGGGTCGAGATGAGAATATTTGATATCAGAGGCAAGGAAGACTTTGCCGTGTTCAGAAGAGTGCCAGATGCCTAGACCAGACGTTGGCTTTTTGAAAAACATAGTAAGGGATCGTATAGAGACCGACCAGCATCGATGCGAATCCATGTCTTGTTCAGATGCTTGGTGATAAAGACATGTTCGACTGCGTCTTTAAAGCTGCGTGAAACTTGACGGCAGGTGATCCAGAAGAAAGAGTGTTCTTTCACACTAGAATGGAGAAGAATTTCGTAGAAAATGTCAGAAGGAGTTTCCTGAAACGTCCCAGCAGACGGCGAGGACATGAGAGTCAAGAGGGTAGTAACTTGAACGCCACTACCACGTCTGATCTCTAAAATGACCATCCCTTAGTTTATGGTTGATAACGGGAGAATAAAGACATGTAATGATTACTGTAGTATTTCGACCGTATCTTCACATACTAACGCGTAACCGGGGTCCATTATGTGAAGATCGGCGCCGGGCGAACTTCGTAGCACAGTAATTTTTCTGTCTGGCATGCGCCGGACTGCCTATTAAGGTAGATGTCATCATCTGGAAGATGTCACTGGGTGAAGATGTGCATAATGCGTAACACCCGGTGAAGATATAGTCAAAATAGTAATATTCCACGTGTAGTCGTCGAAGCTTTTTGCAGCCGCCGATTCGACGACGTAGAGGCGGTGGCGAGTGAACATATGTCCCGGCATTTTATATATATCCGAGGGCAGCTCAGTTGCGGCACTATAGCCAAGTGGTTAAGGCGACAGATTAGAATATTCCAAATGAGAATTATTCAATCTGTTACTCTCTGAGTGCGCAGGTTCAACTCCTGCTGGTGTCGTTGACTTTCGGGGGTTTGGTCCTTTTTCTAAAAATATTTGACATTTGAAATTCTTTCCGGAGTGACCACTGACGAGTCTGGACAGTGAACTCGGGACTCGGGACTCAGTGAACACTAAGCTTTGGTTGTAAAGTTCAAACGGTTTGAACTGCCAGCTTCTTGAAACATTGCTAGTGGCTGTGCAACATATTCTCTTTATCATGTTCAGTACTGGCGGGCCTTCAGGTCATTCGACGGCCATTCTTCAGCACGATCTTTCTCAGTGACCACCCTCTCCCGTCCCATAACAAATCGTTCGACTGTCCCTCATCTCTCTTTGAAAATGCAACAATGGCAAGGCGGGCTTGAAACCAGTCGAAGTGAGCACGATCCCGCGATGGCATCATTGGTGCGAGACTTGCTTTCTGGGTTCGTTTGGCATGCTCACATACATCTAGCTAGGTCCACTCGCTTCCGACCTCCGCACGTTGCACAAATGGCCTTCCCGACTGCGCATGTTCATTCTCCGTCCCAGTTCGACCTTTGTTTGGCCTATTCTCAGGCCATCTTATAATTCGTCCGATTTTGCGTTCGAGAGGAGCGCAATGGATCCATACGGACGGCACAAACTTCGCGTTTCCTTTCAACCCAACACATCCTCTCGCGACTTAGGTACATGGACCGGCTTCTACTCCTAGCGACGAGGTTCTCGTCCTGTTCAAACATACTGTCCGGAGCAGAAATCCCTTCGTTTCGATTGGATGTCGATGCGGGAACTTGCTACAGATGATTGGTCTTTCCTGCCAGTCTATCGTAGCCTATTGGGTATGCGTAATGCACCAGATTCGAGTCATGGGGGTGAAATACTATGCACGAAAGCTCACTTTTTAACAACCGTTGGCGGCTGAACGGACGGACAGCGGCATATTACTAGGACCGTATGAACTTGAATATTTGGTGTGTCGTGGCATTCCTCCCATGTCCAACTTTGACTCATCACTAGCTCTTTTTAGTGGATTGCTTGCGCCGAAGATATGGTCGCGTCTAACACTACATCCTGGTGTCACAACCTCGCACCCGTTGATTCATAAATTGCTCCGAGGAAAGGCTCCGACGCGACGTTTGAACTTATTACGCGCTCGAATCACCCTATCCAACTCTCCTTTTTCATTGCTTCTAACCACCTCATGGAGGAATGGGAGCGCGGCCCCGATATATTGGATTCGTATGAGGACTTATAGAGGCAGGAGTGCAGTCTTTTCCCCCTCGTGTGTCAATGGGCTCTCGATTCCCGAATAATAGCTGCTCTGAGCTCTTTTGTCGCCGAAAATATCTTCCGTAAGAAGGATATGCAATGTTGCTCCCCTCTTCCCCTGCCTGGTGGTTGGTCGCTGTCCTTGACTCTGAAGGTTACGTATTACGGCAAGGAATCCAGCTGCATTAAGCAGGGCAGCGGGACGAGAAAGCGTCTTGCTGTACGTGTATGGATACTCATCGACATTACTGAGAATGGCACACTCGTGTTGACACTATCTGTGCCGCTCCTAATACATGCACGTAACTTACTGGATCTGCATGATGTACCAGGTTCGACTCCTGGAGGTGAAACGCTATGGATTAGGGTCGTCCTTTTGGTCGTCCTGGCGGATACAACAAGCGTGATTAAAATTTCTGCTCTCTACGTTGGTTTCACCTCTGGTGGGACGGTGCACATACTACGATGACATCCACCCTGCTCCCGACCAGCACGTAGCTTAATGGATTTGTGTATAATATTTGCAGGTTCGACTCCTGGAGGTGAAATAAGCTCCCATCCTGTCCCTCTTTTTGTCGCGCTGGAACAAGTCTGAGTATATTTTCTACGCTCGTCGCTCTATCTTGGTGTTTTTATTCGCCGAATTCACTCTCCCGTGGGACAAGACACAGCTAGAGCTTGTCTTTGAATCCCTCTTCGTCTCATATGCATTAGGCTCGGAACTGCGATGCTTCCTCTACAGTCCGAATCCGCACTACTCTTGTTCTCCGGTTTTTCTAATTCTTCTTCCCACACACTCGTGATATTATGGCTCTCGCATCCCTCCGCCCTGGTATATTTCGTCTCAGAAGTGTAAATTCCATCCACTTTACAGTCTAATGAGACAAGAGTCAGTGCACACGTTCGATTCGTGTGGTGGTCCTTATGTAATGAGAGATGTCACGAAGCAATCTTTTGTGCGCCGCCGTGCCTTTGTTTTGTGTCCTTTCTTGTTCACAAGTTGGTGTCGGTACATTATATATATACGTAGCCTAATCCGTTTGGTCACATAGATCAGGGTCGATCCCTGGAGGTGAAATATCAAATATGCACATGCTCCTTTTTCCTGGGTGACCACCATATCATGCTTTGTATGACGATGGCGGGAGAAGAGATGCGGTTGTGACTTCTGCCCTTTAGCAATCTCTGACTAGACGTGTTGGAATTATGTCAAGTCGACGTAGGACTAACGAACTCTTCTCCAAAGTCATTCAAATTTTGTCGACTCAGTCAAGAAGGTATGCAAGAACCCGGTTTCTCTTTCGATGTGGATACATACTTCTTTTCGTACACCCATTAGTGTGCCTGTTCCTCATCTTGAAGGGACACTACAGCGAAGTGGTCAAGGTCGAATGTTCAGACGTTCAGGCCCAGGTTCGAATCCTACTAGTGTCGTATTTTCGCAATTGCGCTGATTCTTTTGAACGCAAATTTAAAATATTCCTTGGAACTGCACAAAGTAGTGGCTGTGCTGTTTTCTTGCCACCGACAGCCATGATCCTTTTCTTCTCACTCGTCGTGCTTTGATGGCATCTGGTGCCGAAGACTGGACCACGACCACTAGACCGAGCCAAAGTTCTGATAACAGCTACTTCTCGCGCCTGTGTGTATAACCGCAGACGGCCCACCCATAAAATACGCGTATAATGGCTTAGCTCGATGAGGGACCTCGGGCCTCAGTCACTGGGGTTGAGAGACGCGTGCTGGACCAAGTGGAAAGATGGTATATTGAGCGGGACATGGCAACATCGAATCTTTGGTACGAGAATCCCGTTTTTGAGCTATAAAACTTTGGCATGCTCATGAGCGTCTGGACGTCTAGGAAAGAGACAAACCCGTCTTCCTCCCATAATAACTTATACATGGCCTTTCGACTGTGTTGTCCATTCTCGCGCTCTCGGCTCGCTCGTAGCCCACATTTTCGCTGTCAAGAACCGGTCTACGTCCTTAACTCATGTTTCCTTGGCTTCCTGTGTGCGTGTATACAGGTTCGTTTCCAAATTCTGTACCGACCCGCACGATTCCCCTGACGGCCACTTCGAGGCGTTTGAAGATACGCTGTGGAAGGGACAGTCCTCTTCCGCTTCTTCTCGAAGATAAACGCGACATATCCAACCTCCGGGTTTGTGTATGGATCAAGAGTCCACCCCACCTCTTCATCTTCTGTGTCTGGTTGCTCTGTCCTTCCTCCTTAGGCCCTCCTCGAATCGGTGGACAAGAAGCGGAGATTGTCTGCTGGCCAATATGTGCCATTTTGTGTCTCTCAGGATGCCCGTCATCAAGAACGATGTTTACGCTTACTTGTCCACGCTGTAGCCCAGGGGTCACGGTCTTTGTAACGCACCAGGTTCGAATCCTGGAGTTACCACACAATGTGTTTTTGGATGTGCTCTTTCTGATGAAGTGTGCAGAGTTTTCTCTCTACACATTCTACCTTGACGACAAGGGAAGCATGCAGGCCTTTCATTCGGGAGTCCCCCGCATATATGCATGTAACCTCCAACTTGCGATATTATTCTTCCCGCAGACCCCAGACTCGTCGTGGTTCTCGTCTTTTCTCACATGTTGCCGCTTTACTCGTATTCGCTGTTCAGACATATCGACAAGTTCCTTCCTCATACGTTCTGCATGATACCTGCTAAAGGACCACATAGAAGAGTTCGTGCCGTGTGTTACTGTGATTGGGGGTGATTTTCCTTGGGTTGCAGGGTGGACCTTCCGCAGATAATACGCTTATGGTGTCGTCGAATCGCATTGAACATGTAGGATCCTCTCGGTTTGGATATCCCTAATACTCTGCGCTTCCTTTGCAATATGTCGTTTTTGGATATTTATCCCGCTTCGTATCCATCCCAGGATTGCCCGTTCCTAATCTTGGACACTACAGCTAAAGTTAAATGTTCAGGTTTGAATCCTGCTAGTGTCGTTCTATGCAACTCAGAAAATTTTTGCTGCACGCGTTTAACTAGTGGCTGTGCGGCATTGTTCTTGGACACGCACCACCGCCATGTTTTACTTACAGACTATGACGTGCTTCGAATGAGCGACATATGGCAAGGAGCTGCGATGTTCTACCTTCGCTACTTGAAGACCCTTGGTATTCGGTGCGGTGTCGTGAAGAAGACTGGACAACGACCACTACTGCTTAACGAGACCCAGCTAATGTTCTGATAACGACTTCTATTCACGGCCCCGTGGATGGCAGAGAAGAAGTCAACGCTGGGAAGAGGAGGGTGGTGTTTGCGTATGCGGCTCTTGGATGCGCTATCCCAGGACTCTTGTGTCGCTGCTAACTGTTCGCGCGCTCGCGTACGGAGTGCTCATCGGACCTTTTGTTTCTTCAGATCTAATTTACACTTTGCTTTGGACGCGCATGAATGACGCCATGCCAGGATGTGGTCTTTGCCTATGGACTTACAATCTACTGCCCGGCAAGACCGTATCCGGTGCTGTATCAACGTCGCCCTTTCCCTGCATACGCTGCCGCACGAACACCCAATCCTCGCGACAATTTGTCACCATTGACATTCACTCGCTTTGGAGGGCCAGCAAAGTGACGCTCGCGAGCTAACCGACGTGCGACGACTTGTGTATCCAGCCGCTTCTGACATGTCCCAGGCTCTATAAAGCATGACTGGTGACTGGTGAACTGGCGACTACCTATTATTCACATATCATCACATCCTGTAGCCTAGCATGCACGCATTGTCATGCACCACGTTTGACTCCTGGAGCCAAAGTCAGAACGTATCGGTGTTGAAAAAGTTTGTTGCCAGTCCTTGCCCATTCCGACATATCATCGCTTAGAAGAAGCACAGGGTAAGAGGAAGCCTCGAATTCGGGGGTTTACACTGAGGAGGAGGGATCGTTTGGTTGGACAGCCGATAGACCACTGTAGGCGGTGAGTATGTACAGTGCGCTGGGTTCGACTCCCGGAGTTTAATTTAAATATTGGGGTAACTGAAATGGTTTTTGTGTACCTATGCTCCTCCAAGTCCAAACGAGAGGAAGTCGGCGGCTGATCCTCAAGCCCATACATAACGTTCTCTCAGTTTCCTCTTCCACGTTTGGAAGATTCTCAGAACAGATGATATGCACCATTTAGTCTAATCAGTTGAATGGCAGATGGATACACCAGGTTCAAGTCCTGGCCCGGGTTAGCAATTCTTTCTATCACATGTCTTTTTGACTTCAATCGCCGTAATTCCCCGTCAATTCTATTCAACGGGTGATATCGAGCAAGCGCCCTCTTTCTCATCCATACGCCATAGAATCGGCATCAGAAGGAATACAGAACATCGATTACCCTCGCTAGTGGAACGTTCATTCTGTCAACCCGACCAAGTATGTACTACATGGACGCACCAGGTTCAAGTCCTGGGGTTGGGATTTGCGATGCGAGTGGGGTATAACAGATTTTGAACGACAAACACTTGATTTTTTGATCTGATGGGTTTACAATATATATTGATAGTGAAGACAAAAGGTTTGGAAAAGGAGAAGGCCTCCGGTATCTGCTTCGATTCTATTTCGACTCCGAGTCAGTACGAGGATCTTTTCTGCCGGAAATCAAATCAAGCACTGACACAATGAAGGACCTGGACAAGAGTTGTGTATTAATTCATGGAGCGGCCGAGAGGGACGCCTCTGTCGTCGACATCTGCCTTCGGGTTACTTGTGGATGAAGGATTCGAAGAATCATAGCGGTTCTAACTTGAAAACAGTCGTGGCACTATAGCCAAGTGGTTAAGGCGACAGATTAGAATAAGCCATTCGTGCTGTTTCATCTGTTACTCTCTGAGTGCGCAGGTTCAAATCCTGCTGGTGTCGTAGAAGAAGATGCTTAAATCTCATTTTGACTGAATCAGCATTGATATTGACTCTTGAGTTAAATGAGCAATCATCAATGAGGACATTGATGAATCGATTGAGGATTAAAATTTTGTATATTCTTGGTCTTCCTAGCCTTCTAGGGTGTAGGCTATAATGATGCAGAGTTCGCTTGTTCTTGTAGTTTCGACTTTTGACTCGGGTCTTCGCTAGGTGCCTATATTGATATCCGGACTCATGAACCTTCAAGGTTCAGGTGTATGCCTCAAGGTTCAGCTATACACGTCGGCTCAGCAAGACGTGCAGCTGCGAATGCTGAGCTCCCAGATCTCCCCTCAACCAGTCTTCACATTCTCCATGATCCGCTTTTTCTATCACATCTCGTAGCTTAGCATGTATCACTGGCACCGGGTTCGCCACCTGGATGGAGAATGGAGCATAACTCCCTAGGTTTTTTTTTTGCTTCGAGGTTATGTAATTTTATTTTCACGTTGACAGATATTCCTTCAAGTCCGTCATGCTAGTTCCCGAATTCAAACGAAAAATGGAATGCATGAGACTCTGCAGACAGCGAACTGCACCGCGGCGTATTCCATGGCAATCCTCATTTACCGCTGCTGTTAGTCTGGAGTAATACTACGAATGGCCTAATTCAAAAGGCAGGACCAAGACCCATCCTGTTTCGCCGCAAGCGCCATCGCTTAGTCAAACCTGTCGTCCGGTGCTCATCCCTGATCATCACAACCCACATAATCTGCCAGTTTCTCGAGTATACCCGGATCTCGCGCACGTCCTAATCATGAGCTTCACGCTCATCCAACAAAAAACCAATCGGATAAGCATCAGAAAGGAGGATGAGCGTGTCCTGGAGCTTTAGAAGTCCGTCAGCCCAGCATCGAGAGGTAGGTCGCTCGTAACTCCCTGATGAGTGTTGCCACGCAGTAGCGTGGATAGGGATAAGCTTCGCTAGCTGGGTGAGATAGGACCGATATCGGATAGCAGCTTGTGCGTTGCCGGGGATATTCCTCGTCGTCTGAGGGCGCTGGTCGATGACGAGGCGGTACCCATCCTTCAGAGTCAAGCTCGAGGACGCGATTGGTGTTACTGGTATTGAAGCTGGGAGCGAGAATCAAGCACCCCGCCAGTCTTGATCGCTGGTTTCTCGGGGCTCTCGATGAGCGCGTTTGACATGTTCATGTCAAGGTGGGAGAGAAGGGAAGATTATAATGGGAGCCAGACGAGGAGCAACAGCTATACATTTCTCGAAGAGCCGAAGAATCTCGGCATCTTGCTGGCTGGAGCGAGCAACAGATGAATTGGTGTCAATGCCCCGAGGTGGTGATATACGAAGGCGAACGAGGGATTCAAATGGAACCGGTTTGATGTTCAAGCACAGGGACCGCGTCGCACCATCGGCTTGAATATCCTTTCGCTCCCCCGCTACCACCCCATGTCAACTATGGGTCCAATTCGGTAGTTCTGTGCATTTGGAAGCTGGTTTTCCTCGTCGCCCAAATATAATCGTCGATTCTGTAGCTCGGGGCTGACATCCTCCTTGAAGTACAAGCTCCCGATCTGGAAGGGCGAATAAAACTGCAGGCCGACATGGCATAACCTGTTTGTTCGCCCTCATGTGGACTGGGGTTGGGAGATATTCCATAGCGAGAAAGGGTGGGGAAGCGGAGATGAGTTCCAGGCAAGTACTTTTGGGGTATAATGCTTATCGAGCTCTTCGCGAACGAGATGTATAGTGGCGACTCTGCCGGACGTGATAAATGTGCGTTCGCGATGACGGATGGAGGAATACGGGCTATGGCACGGGAAGAATTGTCGCATTTGAGGAGAATGATATTATTATAAGAGCCTAGTGAATGGGTGTGTAACTTTTAGGGCTCACGAACATGAACTTGAAAAGCAGTTAACATACCTTCCGTGTAGTTCCGAGCGTCAACAGATTTGTATGCTATTTCTTGGAGAGAATTCACATTGAACGACATATATCGAGCGGCTCGTTCTGCAATATCAGCTTATCAGTTCAAACTTCGAGCCTCGTATAGTAAAAAGCTCTTACGTTCAGCATCATTGGATAGCTATGGACCAAAGGGGCTGTACGAAGCGCGCATTGAGAGCCCCTTGAGCGTGTACGGTTGTCTGCGAACCGTTGAAGAAATCGCAAGTCTGAGCTCGTGTATGAGAAACGAGCAGAATTGTCCGAATGAATCGCTTACCAAGGAGAACTTTCAACCGGGTTGAATTTGAAGGTTATTTACACCTCGTTGTGCTCTCAGCGCCGACCGGAAACCCAACTCTCCGAGTCGTCATTTACATTAGTGCCCAAATCTTGCTGTATCGGTTCCACCCATGTCTAGTATTCTGTCCATGCCTGAACAGGTGCGTCTGCGGTCGGGTATGAGGAATCACTCAGTTCTGACGCGCCGGGTCAGAATCTCGAAGGAGTTCCGCCGCCGTAGGATCTGCACCAGGTGTGTGATTGGCGAAAGCCGATCCGACATCTTCGGGTAGCACCTTCCCGTGTCGACACATGTATAGAAGCTTGGGTGAACATTGGTGAGGTAGCGACGCTCTTCCAGCCAATAGCGGGCAGGTTGGAGTGATAATGCGACTCTGAGTCAGGCCTAATCGTATTGTTATAGATATATGCGCTTTGTTGAACCCTACAAGTCCTAGTCAGATTTTAGCTAGAAGGAAAGACATGGCCAAGGACACACTATTTGCCATCTTGACGAATATACGGCGCCTGCGCCGCTTGCAGTCGTAGTCTTGTCTTTGAAGTCGAGGGATTTATTCGATTGTCCAAAGCACCAAACAATTTTGCCATGGAAGGAGGTCGAAGGAGTCCAGAGGTCGTTCGTAGCGCGAAAGAAGATGTGCCGGAAATTGCCGGTCAACGACCACTAGTTGCTTAAATTTGTTGTACTCTAGCAGTCGCTTGAGCATCTACATACGCCGATTCTTCCGAGGGCTGTCATGGGGCACGTTTAAGGAATGAAGGAAGAAATACCAGGACGATACAACTACAATTGTAATTCTCTTCATACTGTCTACATCAAGTATAGAAAACCATATGGAAAGCAAAGGAAAGCACAGGCAAAGCATCGAAACGCACGACCAAAAAGAAAACAATCTATGATGAAGTAAATGTCCCATAAATTCATTCCTGATACCAGATACGGGTGGCCTTGCGTTTGCCAGCAACGACGGGCGTCTGGTGAGGCGTCTGATCCAAGAGACGAACGAGACCAGCATATGTCGTCTCTCTCGTGCAGCAGCCGGACCGGAGTGCCTGCACAAGCGAGTGTGTAAAAATTCCAATATGCTCCTCCGCCCCGTTTTCCCTTTCTACCGCTTTCGACATTGCCAACTGATGAGCCTTGCAGGCCGCCAGGACGACGTGGGAATCCACGTCTGGGTACCAGTCCTTCGATAAAATGGATCGATAGCCAGGATAACCCCCCAAAATCTGTTCTCCAGCGAGGAGCATATCCTGAACTGTCGTACATCTCGTTTGGGAAGCCGCTCGCGCTCCCGCGCCACGGCTGACACTACCCGAGTGACAACAATCAAGAATGACGGTGATGCGATGTCCCTTGACCCGAGAGATTTGGGTTAGAATGGTGTTGAATTCCCGGTCGCTGATGTCGGGGACTGGTTTGCCATCGTCACCAATGGTGTCGCGATCGATGGGGCAGAGTGCTTCGATATATTCGATCCTGTCACCTTTCCCTTCGAATGGGTAGCGTGAACCGTGACCGGAGTAGAAGATGATGATGTTGTCGCCGACCAAGATCCCGGGGTTGCCGATGATGCTGAGAAGTGCGTTGATGATGTTGGCACGTGAAGGGTACATCAGATCTCCTGGGGACGTATGCTCCGTGGATCCAAGAAGCAGCTGGATGCGATTGGTGGGTACATGAAGGTGCTCACTCAGGTACTTCTCCATCAATCGAACATCTGATACACAACCTTGCAGCGGATAGGATGCATACTTGTCGATCCCAATGAGGACAGCGTAAAATCCAGACTAAAATGCTTCCAATCAGTACTGAATACAATCATTGTGGTTGCGACTGACACCTGGGAGGGATGGACAGACTTCCAATTTAGCTTGAAGTTTGTCTTGAGCTTGATTGTATTGACGGCAGAGGAGGCGATGGATGCTCTCCAAAATCGATAAAATTTCATCATTGCAGCGCAATGCTTTGGTCTCGAGTGAAACCTCATCCACATCCCCAGACATCCCTACTTGCTCTGCTACCTCCAACTTAAACGCCTCCAGCAGGCATATTTGTTTGGGGGTTGGTTCCAATTCCGATAATATGACATCGCCAGCCTAGCCAAAACAGAACGACGAGTCAGAGCTTAGATGAAGAGGATGAACTGGCACTGAGGACAGACTGGGGTGGTTGATCCGTCGAAAGCACGTGCCTTGTGGCAGTGCTGAGGACCTTGAGGACCAGAGGACGCACAATTTGGTAGCATCTCAGAAGAGAAATAGCAACTGGAATCGATGGAGGTGATCGTAACGAAAGAGAAAAGTGTTAGGTGCAAACATTTTATACTGTACTATTTCGACGTGGGGCGCGGTTACAATGTACATGCTCGCGTTCCACTTACGTTAAGTGTCGGGCCGGCGGCTACCGGAGCTATTTGCGGGGCTGAGAATGGTAGACTCTTCCGGTGCCAAGAGAAGTATAATTTCGTTTATTTGAAGCAACCCGAGCAGCCCCTGCAATGTGTGTACGTTAATCCAGGTTCATGTGGCCCTATTAGAGTGCTATAAGTAAGCCATCTTTCGGAGCTCTATTCCTCAAAAAGGGAAGCGCATAAGAATAGTACGAAAAACAGCACTTGGCGGATGATATATGATGCATCAACAAATGAAGTGAGTTTTGGCGCTTGTCGGGATAGATGAGCCTCCGAGTCCATTTTACACGGGATAGGTCTTCACTGTGGATGAGGGCATTGGTGCCATGACTAGA